TTCAGTTTGAACATGTTCTGACTGAAGACGTTATGAAACGAGACATAAACCCTCATCCGAACATCTCATAAATTGTATAGCAAGTCACTTTTCCTTCACTGGCCCTTTCCTTCACATTCCTGAATGTTGATTGTTTCCATAGCAACCACCCCTCGGACCCTTGCGATGGACCATAGTAACGTCCAATCTATTCCTCCTCACTGAACTGCTGTAAACAGCAATTTTCTGAGTCAGTTGTCAGTTTGCCATCTCCTCTCAGCTTTGGTGGCTCACAAATTGCGATGCTTTTTTTTGCATTTCTTCCTCTCTGATTGAGAAGTGTGACGCATTTGTCAGCATGTTGTGTGTTTGTTGGGATTAGTTACTCATCCGCAGTCGGTAAATTCACTGCAGTGGACTTCAGCACCCTGCTTAAACATTATACATAATTTATGTGACAGTCATCTCTGCTTATATCCCGTCAGCAGTCCTGAGCACTCGAGTTCATCTCTTCCGACAGCTGCAGGCTTTTTACTCGCTCAGTCATGTTTTGAGTTTTTGTTGAGTCTCTGACATTTCGCATTAGACACTTTCTCTTTCTTTTTTTCTGTCCTGACCCATCAGAAACGCTTTAGTTAAAATGCTCTAGAAGGAAGAAATTGTTGATGTTTCAGAATGCAAAACCAGGGAGGTCTGAATTTTTTTCTTTTTTATCATTAGTTTTGAATTTTTTTATTTATGTCCATTTAATATTATATATATATAATAATAATTATTTTTTTTATACATTATTTTTTTCATTGCAATATGTGTAGCGTATATTGTATATGCAATATATAGTTTGATATGTGTAAATTATGCATGTCAGCCATTGAATAACCCATTAATACCCTTTTTACATATATTGTAAATATATTATGGAAGTAAAATAGGTTGTGAGAGCAGTTTTATGGTGATGCTTTTATTTTATTTTATTTTATTTTTCCATATAATATTTCTTTATTTCCATACAATACATGTAGTATATATTTCTTAAATAAAATATATAGGATGGTATTTATAAATATATTTATAATTATGCATATCAGCCATTGAAAAACCCATCAATACCCTTTTTACTTGTAAACATATTATGGAAGTAAAACAGGTTGTGGTTATGCTGTTATTTCCTTTTTAAAATTAAATAAATAATTTATTTATAATATGCATATTTATTTCTATATAATATATTATTTATTTCCATATACATTTTTTTTATTTCTATACAATATATGTAGTATATGTTTTCTATATATAAAATATATAGGTTGATATGTATAAATATATTTATAATTATGCATATCAGCCATTGAAAAGCCGTTCATCACTTGTAAATATATTATGGAGGTAAAATGGGTTGTGAGTGCAATTTTATGGCATTAAATGTCATTTATAATAGTCATAACGCACTGGATTGTGTTTAGCTATAGATTAGCTGTTTTGACAGCTTTTTGTCCAGGTGTTCACCTGAATTTGAGTGAATTTCAATTAGGTGTGTATTTAAGAAGAGTGTCTGCATCAGTGACAAAGATTTTCTTTGAGATTTAGTTTCATTTGTTCAAGAGCTGGCAAAAGTCCATGTGAGGTATTTCCTGCTAAATGAATAATTTCACACAAAAGATGGCATTTGATTGCCAATGATGTTGTACGAGAAAATCTCAACGAGCGATTAACATTTTTTTCACCCTGTTAATTGGGGTCACATGCAAAGGCCATATCAGTACCTGTGAATACCTTATGTGTTGGGTTCCTTTTGTTGTAATGTTTTTGATGAATGCTGAGAACCGTGGAAGGAAGTGCTATGAAAATGATATGATAACTGAAAGCACACTTTAAAATAATTGTAAAAAATGTGTAGAAATGTGATTCATGCCTACTGTTTTCTATCTTTTTTTTTTATTTTCACAAAAAATGAGCAAAATGATTACAGAGCAAAATGACTTTAACAGGTGATTTCCTCCTTTTGATGGATTTAAATGAGGAAAATTGTTTTTTTAGACTATTGTGGTTTGAGATTTTCTATGTAGCCAGACCCCCTCGTCATTTAATAAGAGAAACATATTCACCTCCCCACTTTCTCTCAATCGCTCAGACACTTTAGTGTCCATTAGTAAGAATATGAATCACTTTGGCTCTGACTGGTCTGACGGCTTTTTAATCTAGTTTTCTTTTTTCTCATTTGTCTTTTCAAGATCATCTTTTCAACCAAGAAGCACTGATAGAAACCTTCGCTTTCTGCATCGGCCACTTTTGAAACTGCAGAAATAGTTAAAAATGTAAACCGACAGTCATGACAATATTGCATCTAAAAAAGGCTGAGTTTTCTTTTATTTTAGAAATTATTTGAGACTTTCCAAGTATGCAAAATAGAGACAATGAGATCATGATAGAGGCACAATGAATTGAAAGCAGAAGTTAGTTTCTGTCTTTTTATGATTTGGCTGCTAGGTTTCTGTAAATAGATACAGTCAGTTTTGGTCAGTGTTTGGTTTTTCCCTGTTGTTATTTGAGATTAGTGTTATATAACCTAATTGTAGGCAGATCCTGTCCAACGGAGATCCAAAGATGCACACGGGTGTCTTTCAGTGCTGTCAAACGAACAAAACACACAGAGAGAACATCTATTAAATCGGGGTTTTTTTAGATCTGAACTGTGTGTTTCGACAGTATGTAAGTGCAAAAAGTCTCTGTTGCAGTAGGCAATTTAAAGTGTAAAAACTGCATTTAGACTGTTACATGATTTTCTTGCATTTAAAGGCAATAATATCATTAGCTGCGTGCGTCACAGTCATTCTTTTGATGAACTGACCACCTCTAACCTCATTCGATGTCCTAAAATCACAGAGACTTAGAATTCATTTTTTTGTAGTCTCCGAGTCAGACGGGTTTTTTCATCTATTATTCCCTCAACATGAGAATGAGTTGTGAAGGATGTCTATTACATCTCTTCTCATCCTCTCCTTCCCCTTCTTGCCATCTCAGACGGCACTTCACCGTGGGCCAGCTGCACCCCTGTGTGAGGAATGAGAAATATCGACGGGACTGATCTTTCCTGGGGTCATGTTAAATAATTTATGGCAGCTATAAGTTAGTCAGACCTTCCCGCCTGCCACAGGGGCTGCAAGTCTGCCAGCAACTATTTTATGAAGCTTTCAATTCCCATCTATTCAGGGTGTAAAGGATTCCTTTTGTTTGTTTAACAATTAACGTTTAATTTAGTAGTAGTAGTAGTAGTAGTAGTGAATGTGAGGAATGAGAAATATCGACGGGACGGATCTTTCCTGGGGTCATGTTAAATAATTTATGGCAGCTATAAGTTAGTCAGACCTTCCCGCCTGCCACAGGGGCTGCAAGTCTGCCAGCAACTATTTTATGAAGCTTTCAATTCCCATCTGTTCAGGGTGTAAAGGATTCCTTTTGTTTGTTTAACAATTAACGTTTAATTTAGTAGTAGTAGTAGTAGTGAAAATGATGATAATAATAATAATATTTTAAATGTTAAATGTTACATTTTGTATTCTTATTATTTATAAAGCTTTATAAATAATATAAATAATAGTAATGATTACATTTCAAATTTGTATTATTGTTTTGTATTATTGTATTATTTTATATATTTTTATATATTAGGAAATAAGTTATGATTCATATTTGTATTTGATTTTTATATAAAATATTAATAATAATAATAAACATAGCAATAACAATAAGGAACAATGTATAATAATAGGAATTATTTTACATTATTTATAACATTTTGTGTTATTAATAATAATAATAATAATATGCACGATAACAATACGTCCGTCCATTATATTTATCTCGTCTCTAATGCGTTGCATGCCTGTTGCTCAGTGCAGCAGGGATTCTTTCCGAGCGCTTGGATTGGATTCTAACTGCACCGGGATCATTGGTTTTATCGGAATGGCTGTGAGGTGTGAATTGATGGCAGAGTGAGGCCGTAAACATTTTTATAGACAGAGCAGTAAGTCAATACGATGCTCACCTGTGGAAACTGAGCTTAAAATAGACCGATCGTTAGCCATGCACGTCTCCCTTCATGATGTACAGACGCTCCGATTATTTGCCTTGTTAAATTTATATCTGGCTCTGAGCTAGAGACCTGTGATTGAGGATTGTGGGTAATTTCACCCTTGGGGCTCTCGATGCACTTTAGATGCATTGATGATCTGCTGATATATGAGGTGTGGTGTTAGCTCTTGTGATGTTTCAGGAAGAATGCTAGTTTTTATAGCTCAACCAATCCGATTTTAGTACCATATCCATTTGTCTATGTGTACAATTGTTTACAAGAATATTTTACTGATTACAAGTTGTTTTATAAGACATTTTATTTATAAAGCTTTATTTTAAATATAAAATATTTAAAATAATAATTATACTTGTTTATTATTATTATTTTGAAAAACATTTTTTATTATTGTTTATAAAGCTTTATTTTTCAAAGAATAACAATAATAATAAAAATTGTTGTTATTATTATTATTTTGAAATAACATTTTGTATTCTTATTATTTATTATAAAGCTTTATTTTATATATACAATATTTATAATAATAATAATTATTATTTTATTTTACATTTCTAACATTTTATATTATTATTATTATTTTATATATAAAAAGTTATATATAAATGAAAACTATTACTGCTACTTATAGTAATAGTAGTAACAACAATAACAATGTTTTTATTTAATTTATTGATTTTTTTAATTGTTGTTGTTATGATACATTTAAATGTAAAATGAAATGTTAATGTGTATAATATGTTAGAAATACAGTTTATAATGCACCATTTTAAGTGTTACCATTTTATTTTTAATTTACTTTTTTTTTTTCTTATATTACTTTTTATATTTTATTTAGAAAAATAAAAATAATATATAATTTATTTATATATGATATTATTTATTTGTAGATTATTATTTTTTACTTGCATGTTCTCTTCTCTTTCCACAGAGAAAAAAGAAGTGACCCAGAGTTTGGAGAACTATACGTCAAAGTGCCCGGGTGGAATGGAGGTGATCAGCCTTCCTGATGGACTCAAACTTCCTCCTGTTCCTTTCACCAAACTGCCCATCGTCAGGTGAGTGGGCCTTTTGTTGTTTTCCCCTTACATCCCTGTTCCAATACAGTCATGATTTAATTTTGTATGACCATATTCTACTCCTAGTCTGATCTTTACTATTAAATAGGCTGATTTTTGTTTCTGTCCCTTTAAAGATTCCATAGTCTAATATGTCCATTTTCCATGAAAACAAAATGTTTTATTGTTTATTTGAACACTTTTATCTCAATGCCCACTCACTGGGTTTTGATGGTGTATTTCCACAACTCAGTGTGTGAAAAATGATTCATTTGAACTCTGACTGTGGTTTAAAACATTTTTGAAGTTTGTTGGGCTGTGAGCCACAAGAAAGCTGTATGAAAATGAAATATGCAGCTTTTTATTCTCCCCAAATTAAACATTTTAATGGAAAGCACATAACTTCTCGTATCCTTTCATCTGTCCCAAGGAAGCTGCTGATGTTCTTTGTGTGTAGGAAAGAAAGGCCTATAAATGTGTTTAACAGATGTATTTCATAATCCCACCAAGCTAAAGCTGAACATGTTCGCTTGATTGAAGTCTCCATTCCTCTAAGCGCTCCTCTCTGAAGAGCTTGTTTTTTTGATTTTTTGAGTTGTTAAAATTCCTTAATTTATTCTATTAAGGGATATTTAATTATAAAACTTCAGACAAGCTGTGTTTCTCCTGATATTTATCTCCCTCTTCACATGTCGTTAACATGCAATATCTTGCTCGCCAGAATTTACACGGAGGGCGAATTCTAGACATATCTTTAAAAAGTTCCAGAATGAAATCTTGCCGTCTCACAAGAGAGATTGTTGTTTTATAGGAAAGCATAAATGTCAGTATTAAACTGCTGTTTGCTGGTCAGAGATGTTGTTGCTCTGGCAACAGTGTTATGAGACATTTAAGCTCTAAAGCTGAGTTGTTCATGGGGGCAAAAACAAAAGTGTTGTGTTTATAATTTTGTTCAGTGTAAGTTTTAGACTACCGTTAAAAAGTTTGTGGTCAGTAAGATAATACTTTTATTCAGCAAGGATGCATTAAATTGGTAAATAAAAGTGACAGTTTTAGTTCTTTTGGACTTTATATTTGTCAAAGAATCCTGAAAGGAGTGTTTCACGGTTTTCACAAAAATATAACGCATTGCAAATGAGCATATTAGAATGATTTCTGAAGGATCATGTGACACTGAAGACTGGAGTAATGATGCTGAAAATTCAGCGCTGCATCACAGGAATAAATCATATTTTTAAATATATAAAAAAATAAAACGGTTATTTAAATTGTAGTAATATTTCACAATATTACCGTTTTTACTGTATTTATGATCAAATAATTTCAGGCTTGGTGAGCAGAAGAGACTTCTTCCAGGTCCTTTCTGCTTACTCAATATGTGAAACAGGCCTAACCCTCTCTGTTTTTTGATTGATTTTTAGATCCGTTTCTCTGCTGAACCTGCCAGTGAGTCTACGTCCTCATAAGGTGAAAAGTCTTCTGGGACAGGGCATGTCCAGCGCCAGCCCATTCATCTACTCTCCAATCACGATCCACAGCAGAGGAGACGAGCGCTCAAAGAAGATCGGTGAGTAGTTTTTCTTCTCAGATCTCTCTTAAACTTCCTCTGTGTGAGTTATTGTTTTCTCTGAAACTTTAATTACGGTATATTAGCATGATCTTTGAGTTTTAACCTCACACACTGTTTATGTGGGGTGGTATTGCTCTGATGGGCTTTCGCAGCAATCTTAATTACTGTTTAAAAGATTCTAAACTAAACACACACCATTGTGTTTCCACGTGGTCTATTCGATTCATGTTTATGACAGGTGCTGTCATTAAGTTGTCTCTTTCCCTGTTGGCAGTCGGAGGTGGCTGGAAAGAGATGAAGTGTTTTCTGGATCTCTTAAGCAGCATCACATGGCACAGGCTCTATTATTTATAGACTTATTAAGACAAATAGCAGAACACTTGTACTGTGATAGTATTTCATGGTAATACCATGATTCTTTGATATATATGTCACAGTTTCATATCATATTAACATGGTACTCCCAGCAACTTCTAGTAGTTTCAAGTGTGGTACTTCAAGGCATGCCATGAGGTACCATAGTAGTTGACTATAATTATCATACAGTACCACGGTATATATCAAAGTATCATGGTACAGTTCGGCAATTACTATAGTACTTTTGATAATTATATGTGACCCTGGACCACGAAACCAGTCTTAAGTCGCTGGGGTATATTTATAGCAATAGCCAAACATACATTGTATGGGTCAAAATGATAGATTTTTCTTTTATGCCAAAAATCATTAGGATATTAAGTAAAGATCATGCTCCATGAAGATATTTTGTAAATTTCCTACTGTAAATATATTAAAACTGCATTTTACTGATTAGTAAAATGCATTGCTAAGAACTTCAGTTGGACAACTTTAAAGGCGATTTTCTCAATATTTCGATTTTTTTGCACCTTCAGATTCCAGATTTTCAAATAGTTGTATAAAATATATATATAAAAAAAACAAATATTGTCCTATCCTAACAAACCATACATCAATGGAAAGCTTATTTATCAGCTTTCAGATGATGTATAAATCTCAATTTTGAAAAATTGACACTTAAGACTGGTTTTGTGGTCCAGGGTCACATATTTAGATTTTATTATATTCCTATACCATGGGATTTTCATGCAGTACCATGATACTGTGATAGTTTGATATACATTGTAGTATTTAAATGGTATTTGCATGTACTCCAGGAATTTCATGGTACTTTTTGCTACTTGTTTGTAGTTGTGCTACTCTGAGGTACTTCAACAAATACAATGATGATACCATGGTATTTGAATATGATAACTGTCTATATCAAAATACCGTGGTACTGCAAGTTTATCAGATGTTAATACTGTGGTACTTTGAAAAAACCCATAGTACTGTTTAGTACTATTAGTGATGGTATTACCATGGTACACTGATATTTGCCATGGTATTTTTTGACTACCAATTGTTTTATATACCTTACACCTGTTATTACTGGTTAATATAATATAAAATAATAATATAATATAATATATGCTGCATATCCAGAAAACATGGTTTTTACTTTTTGATACTTTTTTGAAAATTATTTCCTGTCAGCTTTCATGTCAAAGATATATCACTCTAATAATCGTTCACTCAGTCTTCATGTCAGTAAAATGTCTATTTATAGTTCAAGCTCCTCCAGATTCATATTAAATTTATAGACTGTATCTAATCTCTCACTCTGGGCGTAACTTTCTTGAGTTCTATTGTTTTGTTGTGGATTTTTTGGGTGTATTTTTGGATCGTAGGGGCCCTGAGGAACTGGCAGGAATCTTATGAAGACAGATGGCTGTTCAGTGTGAGGTTGCCCCGACTTTTCAAACAAATCATGTTGTATAAGAGTCAGATGGCTGTTTCCAGCCTGTCTTATTTCATTCTGCCAAAACCCACCAACGTCTGCTGCGAGTGCCTGTTTTTATTTATTTTTTTTCATGTGCTATCCCATGACCACTTGGATACTCCCAATGGTCCTGATTTCACTCTCAATTACGTCGGAGCGGTTAGTCAACTGCTTCCGTCACGGGTCGTGGTTAGTCACAGGTGGGCGGGGAGAATCGACACAGGTGGGCACTTTCCTGAAGACTTCGTCTTTCTGCTGTTGAAGCGAGGTTTAGAGTTGCCTCAATTTCCGGTTGATTACACCAGCATCTAAACGTCAAGAGATAGTTTTCCCAAGAGGGATGGAGGGAGCAAGAGAATGAAAAGACGAGGAAATTCACATTCAAAACCGAATCATTCTAGTAGTTTACATAATTGAATAATTTCCAATCAGGGTTAAATTAGTGCCACGTACTTCCGCTTTTGAGTGCGGCTTCACTGAAATGCCACTTGGATTTGTTTGGCTTTGGCTTCAATGGAATCAGTCAGATCCTGCTTCATTTTCTTTTAAAAAATGTCAACGTATTTGCCTTTTAAGTGGCTTTTGCAAGTCAAGCAGCACTGTTTTTTTTTATTCTTTATGCTTATTATTAGTACACCGTGAAAGACATTATCGGACTACAAGAAAATAGTATTTCAGTTTTTCTACGAAATGTAATGTCTAATTCAGTGTGTTAACTTGCTGTTTCTTTGTAGTTGCTTGTGAATTTTACCAGCAATTTCTGAGTGAAAATTGTCTCTATACCAGTTTTTTTTTCAGTGTAATTTAGGGCTGGGCGATATGACGATATTATCGTATATCGACGATGTCGCATAAGTATCGCGATGTCGATGTCAACAGTCAGGTAACAGACGATTATCGACATCAAAAAACAATGACAAATGATAAACCTAGTAAGGTGCAAAAAATATTTTACATAGCCCCATAGTCTCCATACAGGTCTTTTTGCATGCAAGAATTAAATAATTTAGTAGGAGGGTTGGGAATCGAAAAGCTATTCCAATTTCGGGAATCAGGTCAGATGCAGGTCAGGAATCAAATTACTTGTTATAAAATTGCGTTTCGTTTCTGCTTCTCGATTTCTGTATGCGCATTTATTGTGATTTCAAAAGATTCAACTGCAAGAAGACGAAATAGAACTCACTTCTGCACTTGTGCGCTGTTTTCTGTGCTGCGCACACACACACACACACACGCAAAGCGCACGCACAAAAGCCCCTCTTATATACGCAAAAACTGGACTGAGCTCTCTTTCTCGCATTCTTACACATTCAAATGGACAAATACACACAGAATTATATCAAAATGTCCCATAAATACAATCGGTTATGTCTTAAGTGAACGTAAAGAGTTGAGAAAGAAAACAAGGGTGTATTGGATCGGTGCATTGACAGCAGCCGCTGCCGCCAGTCATTAATGTTAATCAAAGAACAAAAGAAAAGAAAATTCCTCACTGATCTTGACTGAATCACTTTTGTAACTTTTTTGTAAGTTTATATTTTATTTGTCTGTTGTTCGGCGCCGACTACTGTAATGGGAACGTGCATCTGTGTATGCGATTATTTTGGAGATGCGTTCCAATATAATTTATCCTTATTAAAGGCACAATATGTAATTTTTTGCCGCTAGAGGGCGTGTATTCAAAATAAACAAAGAAGCAAAGGCGTAGTTTGATGACGCCGTGACTGAGTGTGGAATCATGGGAGTTGTCGTCTTCATCCCCACAGCCCATGCAATCCGACGGGACTCGGGCACAAATCATGTTCATGAATGAGCTAATGATTTATTAACGTAGTAGAATGAAGCAGGGTGAGGCTGAAAGCCGTCGAAGCGAAACGAGGCCCCTGAAAACACATGGCTCGAAAGCAGTGGAGCCTTTATCATGCCACAGTCGACCGCTTCCGCTCCTTCCGGTCGTGCGTATGTGGGGGGAAAAAAAGCAGTGCTGTTTTATCATACTAGATACATTTGAAAGTTCTGTTATAATGCTACTCTGTGCGGTCGTCACCTGTCTAATAAAACGCATAACATATTAAAGCGTCTTTGGGAAATCGAGGGGTTATGACGTCATTGGCAGGCGACACAATAACACTATGGACACGGTCCGTGTCACTAGTTAAAATTGCTTATTTCTCTGGATTTAAACATTCTTCGAAACATTTGGGATAATGTAAGTACACAAGTCAGCAAAATATATAACTCTGTTCTAGTGGTTTTTGGCTATTTTAATAAAAAAATCTTACATATTGTGCCTTTAAGGGTATAGGCCTATTCTATTTTGATCTGCAGTTTAATAAAAGTTAAACAGAAAACAGACAAAAAGTAGCACTCCATGTGTTTCTGAATATTTATTTAAACAGACTGTATAATGATGAAAAACCACAAACATGACAGGTATAATTAAAATACGCAAATTCCTTCAGCGCACATTTCAGTGCAAAATTTTTTACAGATTTTTTAGACCGTGAATACAATATAATTATTTTAATTAAGCTGAGATATAGCACTATAAATTCTTAATTCATTTGCAACAAAACTATAAAGTTTTGTTGTAAACGGATGAAGCCATTATAGGTTTCTCAGCTCGCCCCTCAAAATGCACACGTTCAGTTTCAGCAGCCCAACACTGAATATTATATTGTGGGCGTTGTATTTTGATTAATAAAATAAAAATGATAAAAATTACAATGCAGAAATTAAATTTAAATGACCCTGCTTCTAAATAAAGAAAGCAGTTATTTTTATTTAGTTAAAAACGGGCCAAAAGAAACCTCCGAACTAGAAGGCTACCAGAAAGGAAAAAATTAGTTTTTAATCCCTGCATGATTTTAGTCATCATACATGATAAATATCAAATACGTTATAACTTGACTACAAGTTTAAAAACAACGCTGCAGTTGTTATAATTAAGGAAATTAAACTTACCATCATGAAATGTGTCTACACAGGCAATAATGCCAAAAAGAAAGAGAAACATCGGCATATTTTATTCAAGACATTATTATAGGCCTATGACATCAACATGCATTTATCATTCTTACAATCACCGCCAGAATGTCTAACTTCACCATGATGAACTTAAAATTGAGTTCTATTATTTTTCCTCAACAAAAACGAA